TTAGGACTTTGCTCCTACTACAGAAAGTTTATTAAGAACTTTGCACAAATAGCACGGCCATTACACCAACTCACAGAAAATGGCCGTATTTTTGAATGGAGTGTGCAACGGCATATGAAGAGCTTCTCGTCTCCGAGATTTCGACAACCTTCTGGGTTACCTGGAGGAAACTATATAAGCGACGACGAGAACCATGGGGGGAAAGTGAAGTGACAGCAGCGACGGAGTGCAGAAGAAGGTTAAACCCCGCTAGTCGGAAATGCGTGTTTTCCGTGTGTTATTGTTATCGTTTGTGAAGTTGACGGTAATTTTGAAGTTAGTTTGTTCCTGTTCCGTAGTTAAAGTTGGACCGAGTGGAATAAAAGTTGGAAGCAGAAGAAAGAGTTTGATACTCTGCCATCCACGGAACAGTATGTATATTTATATAGTGGAGCAACATTGAGGTTACAGCACTGCAGCCCTTTTTTGATTTTCCTTTATGATACGTGTAAATTGTCGCAACCAGAATTTCCTAAATTATGTGCGCCAAATACATAATACCAAAGCTGGCGGGCATATAACGGGATTAGTTGGAATGTGCTGCAAAGGAAGATTTTGCATGAAATTGAAAGATAAACAATCCACCTCTCCTGCTTGAGCCATTAATTTGTATTTTCTTTTCAGAGCATAAAAAGTCTTGGCCTTCCTCAGATGCAGCTCCTTCTCGCCCAGAACTCTGTTTCATTCTTCTGCTGTTAGATTCTTATCGTTCAAATTTTGCTGGTGATTGTCACATGTTGGACATGTATCGGAACGTGGAAACCCAAATTTGATCTTGAACTCGGTCTTGAAAATGCGCCAGTAAAGCTTATATGGAATATTGATTTGGTGGTCGTATAAAAACATTAAGTGCATGTCTTTTATTGTCAGTGCTTTAGGAATATAGACATATTCAGGATTTTAACGCCGTGGGTAATGGGACTGCCTTGGTTTAAATGACATAATGTGACATTTTACTAAATGAACCATCTCTTTAGGGTACTGGTTACTTCTATTCACATGTTTACTTTTTAGGTCGTGAGGCGATTTACCAAAAATAGCCAAACTCTGCTGTAGTCTGCAAATTCTGAATTGTCATTGAATATTTAAAAAGGCAATTTTACACACTTCATATTGTTTTCTGTTGTATCTTTCTTTGTAACCATAACATGCAGATTTAGTTTCTCGTTTTCATTCCGGTGTAGTTCTAGCACGTCGACGGCGAATATTGCATATTTCGATTAGTCCGCATAAATGGCTATCCTGTTCATTATTGTCCTCTATTTCGTAGAATTGTGTAAATAGGCCTTGTCTAATATTTGGTCCAACACACTGGAAACATTTTTTTACACACAAATAAAAGAAACAAAGATGTGTATTACTTGTATTCTAATAAGAAAAAAACATAAGTTAGAGGCAATTTTTTCTAGTGTACGAGCTGATACTGTCATTCCATTTGATGTGATGTATTTCTTTCCATGTAACCTTAGATCTTCTAAAATGTTGCTTTTCTTTGGCATTTTCGCCTTTTTTTCTTGCCACTGAACATTGTTTACATCCTGATTCATACACCATTAAACATTAAACATTGTATACGGTGAAGGGTTTGTATTCTTCACTGAACAGTAAGAGATACCCAAAGTGATCTGGTATTAAGACGACAAGGCATCAAAACTCGTAAAATAAATTTAGAGTTACTGTGTATTTCCAGATTCGCGAGTTAGACCCTCCAAGGAGCAAACAAAACAAGCTTTTTAAACAACTCAGTAAGGATTAACCTGTTTATTACCTAAGTTAAAGGAAAAATATTCTTGTTACCAAGTTCGTAATGCAATTACATAAAGTATAACTTATACTAATACTCATACGCACGCTCTTTCACATCAATAACTGTGCTAATTAATACTAAAATACAAGAATTTACAGCTTTAGCTTACATCAAGTAAATGAACAGTAAACTAACCTCGCCCGTATAACCAGATTAAACGTACGGTAGGTAGGAAATTAAGCGCTCTAAACCGAATTGGATTTGTCAAACTAAATCTTTGTATCAGCAATTTAAGTGAGATATCATAAAACTGAAATTGTTGTCAGTTAACGAGGACAGATTGTTTCAGTCTCTAACCCGTCGAGCACAAAAACACTCTCATACTTTTTTCAGTCAGTACTATGCAAGTTATTATTGTTAGGTACTTGCGGTTGTTGGTAATGTTATGTGCCACGCTTAATCACATGCTTATTCCGTGTATTCTAAAATCGCACGCATCTCCTTATCGGAACGACATTTAAACCTAAGCAACATAATTCATTTTTCTATCTAAATGGCATTCG